AAAAAAAATAATTGATTTTAGTGCATTAGACGCAACACGACATAAAATTTTTTTACCTGAATTATTTTGAATACATTAATGTATACATTAATCAAGTACACGTGTAAATACAACATTTGGAAGTGTTAATGTGAACCTACTGTGTACATATATAATTCATATAGGTAGAATGTCTAAGTGTGCACATTTTATCAGAAATATAAAAGTCTCATATACGGTCCGGCTTAAGTTACAAGATAAGCACACTAGAAGTCATTCAAACATTCCCATTGGAATACTCACTCATTCTTATCGTAATTAGTCATGAAATAAAGTTAGCATTCTTTGAAATGGTCTCAGTTTATATGTATTATTCAGTACACGAGAAAAAAACGTGATTGAGGAAACCGGAGAACGTTGCAGCGAGAACTCGAGTTGGAGGGGCTGCACTCAACTGCATACATTCAAGGCACAGCTTCTTGCCTTGCAAGTAGGTATGCAAACAATATATCGATGTGCAAAAGACATCAGTACACCTGACTAAGAGCATTGGTACAAATAGATTTTAAATAAATCTCATTTAACACTTATTATATTTCGTTATTTTCGTTTCTACGTGTCGATATAATATCGTATCGATATTCTAGCCTATGGTTTTTACATTCTTTCCCAAGGGAAATGTTACTGAAAACTTTTAGTAATATTGAATTCACTCACTCATATTATTCGTTGCAACATTGAACAGACAGGCGATCCATTTCAGCGCACTGTTAATTATTTGTAAATAATATTTGCACAATTTTTAATCCAACGAGACCGCCAATTTTTTTTTAACAAAATACCGCCTTACACACCACTGTGCACACCGACATGCACCAACGTGCACTGTCGTACTGCGCATGCGTGTACGCAATAAGTGTTAGAAGCTACGACTCATGGCGGATTCTTAGTAAGATATCTATTCTTGTTATTTGGAATAAAGCGAGATGAACCGATACCTAAGAAACTAAGATGAGATAGAATTAGAAGAGATATTCTTGTATTTGCAATAAGAAATACCAAATAGGTACGATAAATTATTAGACAAAAGTACTGTACGCTACATATATTTGTATATATATTTCTAATACGTATTTTGTGAGAGTGTTGAACTATTCAAGATGTCACGTTTAAAATTATTCGAATAATATTTATAGATAAAAAAGGAATGTAATTAGTTATTAGTTTATGTTAGTTAATTATACAAAACAAAATAAAAGATATTATAACAATTCATTGCTTTTTTCAAATTTTTTTGAAATTTTAATACTATTTAATAAAAAGTTTTTTTTCATTGTAAATGATTTTATCATTCTCTTATAAATTATATATAAAATAAATTGTAAACAGAATTATCATCATTTATATCAATGTGTATTGACAATGCTTAGAAACCACAAATTTCCGTGTTCTTATATTTCAATCGTCGTATAATCTTTACATGAACATATGAATTCGTATTGCAATACACTTCGAACATAAAAAATTGAAACTTTTACAATCCTTTGCTAATTGATTTATACTACTAACTACTAACATACAAAAAGCGATAAAGAATCTTATCGAATACTATTTACTACTATACTGTATCAAAGTATATTAAGTCTTGTGTACTTTAATTAAAAATCGATTTTTAAATTTTGCTAAAAAAATAAAATAGAATCTATCTAATTTTTTTAACTTTTACTTAAATGAACTATTAAATTCTAATTATTCGTAAAAATAATTAAACAATTGAGGAAAATATATAAAGGACAGGTAAGATACATGAAAATAACAATTGCAAATCAATTCGTTTATTTCGAATTGTATGTCATTGAAAAATCTCAATGAGAGACAGTTTAGTATTCTTCAGCTCCCTCTCCCTCACCTTCTGCGGAATCCATACCAACCTCTTCATAATCCTTCTCCAAAGCAGCAAGATCTTCACGTGCTTCGGAGAACTCACCTTCCTCCATACCCTCACCGACGTACCAGTGTACAAATGCTCTCTTAGCGTACATTAAATCGAATTTATGGTCAAGTCTGGCCCAAGCTTCTGCGATAGCAGTAGTATTGGATAACATGCAAACAGCTCGTTGTACTTTAGCAAGATCACCACCTGGTACAACAGTAGGTGGTTGATAATTAATGCCAACTTTGAATCCAGTTGGACACCAGTCGACAAATTGAATGGTGCGCTTAGTTTTGATAGTTGCAATGGCTGCATTAACATCCTTAGGTACAACATCTCCTCTGTACAGCATACAACACGCCATATATTTTCCATGACGAGGATCGCATTTTACCATCTGATTAGCCGGCTCGAAGCAAGCATTCGTGATTTCCGCTACAGAAAGTTGTTCGTGATACGCTTTTTCAGCGGAAATGACTGGCGCATAGGTAACCAATGGGAAGTGAATTCTTGGATAAGGTACTAAATTAGTTTGGAATTCCGTCAGATCAACGTTAAGGGCGCCATCGAAACGAAGTGAGGCAGTGATCGAAGAAACGATTTGACCAATCAGTCGGTTCAAGTTTGTATACGTCGGTCTTTCGATGTCCAAGTTACGGCGACAGATATCATAAATAGCCTCATTGTCGACCATAAATGCACAATCGGAATGTTCTAAAGTAGTATGGGTGGTGAGAATTGAGTTATAAGGTTCGACCACAGCAGTGGAAACTTGTGGTGCTGGATAAATTGCGAATTCCAATTTCGACTTCTTTCCATAATCCACAGACAGACGTTCCATCAACAGAGATGTGAAACCAGAGCCAGTGCCACCTCCAAAGGAATGGAAGATGAGGAAACCTTGGAGTCCAGTACATTGATCTGCAAGTTTACGAATACGATCCAAGACAAGATCAACAATTTCCTTGCCAATTGTGTAATGACCACGGGCATAATTGTTTGCTGCATCCTCTTTGCCTGTGATCAGTTGTTCTGGATGGAAGAGTTGACGATAGGTGCCTGTGCGAACCTCGTCTGCAAAATTAAAAATAAAATAATTATTCAATTTAATATTTAATTTATTGTTTATAATATATAAATCACGAATAAAGAATAATTACATACCGACTACTGTAGGCTCTAAGTCGATAAAAACCGCTCTGGGAACGTGTTTTCCGGCACCTGTTTCACTGAAGAAAGTATTGAAACTATCATCTCCTCCTCCAATGGTTTTGTCTGATGGCATCTGACCATCAGGTTGGATGCCATGTTCCAGACAATATAATTCCCAACAGGCATTACCAATTTGGACTCCAGCCTGGCCAACGTGGATTGAGATACATTCACGCTAAAAAAATATAAATAAAAAATTAAATAATAAACTAGCAGTTAATATTTCCTTTTATCGATAAAAAATTAAAAAAAAATTTTTTTAATAAACTTTTTTATTAGAAATATTTTATTTTTAATATTATATTTATTTTATATCATAAAATATATTGCATTTAATTTCAATAACACATTTAAAATAATTTTATATAGAAAATATTTGACAGCCATCATTCGCGAAGTATCGATCGCGTAGCCTAAAACGACGCGTACTTTCCCTGCCAATCAATAGACGCAAAACAATGAAATTGCGTTAAAGCGATTCATTTCTTAAACCAATTTTATGAAAAACATATTATTTAATCAATTTTATTAAGAATATTACCCAAGATAAACGATTTAACTATTTTAATGGTATTTAGTTGCTAAATATGAGTCATAACGGAAAGGGCGGAGCCGGCCGGTGCAACCAAACGATTCAGAAATAACACTTCTGATTATACCTTATAAATTTATTTTCTCAATAATATTTACTCACCATTTTGAAGTCTAGGGATGTGGTTTATGCTGTAGAAAGTGAGTAGTCGATAGTTAAAGCAAGTAATGGAACTTCTGCTATCAACCACACACAACGCACAGTCGAACACCAAACGATTAATGCGCGAGAGACGCTTGCAACCGGATCTTATACCCCTGACTATCGACTCTTTTGGCGCACTATCATTGGTTGCTGATGACCTCATCCCGAACTCCCATTGGTCGACAAGAGACCGCAGAACGCCACGGCGTCTTCACGCATGTTTCCTACACACGAAATATAGTATCCTTCTGTCATGCGACATTTATTTTATTGATTTTACGAATTTCGATGGGCGCAGCAAGAAAATTGATATATAATAACTCTTGTTCATTGACTTTATGATAATTGATTCCCAATAAAATATGTGTATTATAACAAGTATGGAAATATAACTGTTTCTAATTTATTCAAGCGTGAATTGAATTATCGTTCAACGGAATAAAGTTCAAAAGGATTTTATTATTTTTGAATATTTTAAAGAATTGTTTTATGTTAATAGTTTTATGTTACAATTCGTTTTTAAAAATAATAGGATTTATGAATGAAATTCATTTTTAAAATGATATTTTTAAGAAGACGTCTTTTTCAATTATTATACATGTATGTATGTACGTAAAATGATAATGTAATTAGAATATATTACTGTTAGTTTCGTTTATTGTTAGTTTCATTAAAAATAAATATCAGAATTTTAGATTAAAATATATTAAATGTTATATTACGATTACAATTATAATTATTATAATCATAATCATACATATATATAATTTTTCAGAAATTTATATTCATAATTTTATGAATTCTAATTACCAAACAATGCATTTTACAAGGATTTTTCATAATATTGCTTTTTTTTTCAGAAATAATTGCATTTAAATAATCTCATCAATATCTATTGTCTGAAAAATTATATTGGAAATATAATTTTTATTACACGTTGCAAACATAACACAGTTACAAATTAAGTTTCTTCCATCATAATATTTCACGAAGAGATTGTCATTAAAATTTCACATTGCATATGAGAAGATGTACAAGAGAAAGTTCAGTGTAAGTAGTACTTATTCCACTCTTTTAACACAAAAACTGTAAATTATTTTTCTTTTATATACATCATTAAAAAAATTTTGAAATATATGAAAAATAAAATGAATATAACATTTATATAGAGTTATAATAATTGATTTTGCTTTTACTTGCAATGTTTAAAAACATTTCCCGACGGAGAAATGCAAAACAACGGTATATTTATTCTTAGTTGCAAAACTACAACGGGATATGGGCGTTGAACTTGTCCATTGGTTAAGAATAGACATTGCGTCGCAGAATTTCTATTCGGGACTTACCTGTAAGTCTAGATCTTAGAATTGTGAAATTATAAGCAAACGAGAAGATCTTGTTTCTTGTTGAAAAATATCTATTAACATTCTATAAAATCCAATCATCAATTATATTTATTTCATAATAAAATTGTTAAAAGATTAAAAATGAAAATTATCTTTTTTTAATCATATAACAATATTGATTATCTTTAAATATCTAAGATCCAATTTCGTTATCAATTATTTAAAACTTAAATTTAAGTTTTTTTTTTTTTACTTAAATTTTTTTTTTTTTTTATAGGAAGAGAAAAATATTGATTTTCAATATAATTACGTAAATGGCCATTTTCCATGAGAAGAAATCAATATCATCATAAGAATCAATCAACATTGCCAAAAATTCTCAGAACAATGGTAAAGGTTCGTTAATACGATATTATGTATTGATCGTGAGTACATAACTGTTTTTTTCATCTTCTGAATTATATGAACACGCTCTGTTGGTTCCTTTATATGCAGAAGCGCTAAGGAAAGATGAGAGCCCTGGTGAGAGAACGCCTATGCCACTCGACCGTTCACTTTTTCTAAAATTGGTCACAGACAGCCGGATCTTGCCTAAGGAAAGCAGTAAATCGCGACGATCCTCTCTTCTGGAAGAGATCTGCAGGGTGGGGCACAGTACATTGCCAGAGAAAATAAATAACTCATCCGTATGATGTGCACGCAAAAACAATTCGTTATCCTCGAGAGAATTCAAAAATTATTTGATCATTATTATTTTATCTGGAGAAAAATAATTATTTTTGAATCAGTGTGGTCAAATTAATTTTTTTAGGTTATAGTACTTGGACAGTCTACAAACACGTAATAATTATGTTCAATAAAATGCAAAGTTCATTCATATTTATTGAATAAGTTAGAAAGTTGTTAGACAAGTTTTATTATTTCTCAATAAAACTTTATTCCAATGTTCAAGAGAGAATTTGGAAAGAGTGTTAACTTATTCGATAAATATCGATAAATTATTATTAATTTTTTCCTGCTATTATTTTATGACATGATTCAGGTTTACAGTAACTAATAAATATTATTCTTAGTTGCGATCATGAAAACTGATCTTCAATATTAACATAATCGATACCGATAATACTGGGTACCGGACGATGATGTAACAGATCGACCACGCATTTATTGTCCTTGCATTTGTAGCAATCCTGTTCTCCAAATATAGTTAGCCAATGTTCCAACGTTTATTATATTTGTACTTCATCTCTATTCACATACATAATTGATTGAATAATAATTGAATAAAATTGAAAAAGGAGATAAAATTTTCATTTCAACAATATTGCATTATTCAATTATTAAAAAACCTTGAAGTACTTACCTAAGATAATTTACATTCAATATTAATAATCAAAATTATTATATTTACCAATAATTGATTCTGAACTCGTGACATTTAATAATATTTAATAATTTTTTTTCTATTTTCTGCTTCTCATTAGAATATATAATATATATCAATGATATCAATGATGATGATGATGATAATATAAATGATGACATCAAGAATGGATATCTACAAGGACAAAGGAAACTAATTTAGGCTAAGGATTATTTTTTAATAGAATAAACACTTATATTAGTTGTATATACTTGCTTAGTAATATATAGAGTGCCTATAACGTATATTTCTGAGAACAAATAAATCACATATAATTTACAAAAAGGAACTTGACGCGGCGCTTAATATTGCTCTTATCGTCGGATAATGACAAGGTATTTATTATCTATAGGCATACGAATTTTTCATTCACTTTTTTCTTTCCGAAGAATCAACATTATGAACGTGTACATCTGTGAAAGAAACTTCAAGTTTATCGTATTTCTTTTTAATTAATTCCAATTAACATAGGCCTTATTCATTGTTATCGGACAATAGAAAAAGAACATGAAGATAAGAATATATTATTATATCATCTTTCTTTTTAATTCTCCATGCACCATCGAGAAAATTATACACCGGGCAGTGAAATACGTAGAAAAATTGGCAAAAATTTTGAAAATTTAATAATAATATTGTTCCTTATTCTCGAACAATATTTTTAGCCATTAAAGATTAATCTTTCACATGTCATTTTTTTCCTTAAACAGTGTACAAAGAATAACGTTTCATGCCAGAAACACGAGTATTTCGATGAATTCGATAGGATACGTCTTCGATCTTAAATTTAATCTCTTTCTCATCGTTTATCTGCAAGTTTAATACGAAGTGACCAAAATATCGCAACTCCAGAGTATTATTATCTACGATAAATTTATTAAAGATTTCTATTTGCTCTAGCTGAACTTTCACGGTGTACCAATAATTTGTATCGAATACTATTGTCTAGTTTATGTCAATTCAACGTATGCCTAACAATACGTCAATTTGGAATTATTTCATTCCTCAACAAATTCATAAACACCTAATTATTCGAGATATTTTTAAATATTTATTGTTCTGAGACGCACAGACGAAAGTACAGAGCCTGAGAACCATCAAAAATCCATGAATTCACACGATAGCGAGACATTTCATTTTTTTTTTTCTTTTTTTTTTCGTCGTCGATCCTATGACTACGATATAAAACGGCACGACGTCTACATCTAAAAACTTTTATCTATGTACAATAAACGCTTGGCGGGATCCTCGTGAAAAGAAACGTCGATCGAAATCGGTCGTCGTAATTCGAGGTTCGCCGTAAGACTTCTATCGCTGATTTTTTTCAGGATCGATCAGCGCTATAACTAAAATTTACATCTAGATTATTTCAAGTTATTTGCATTTGAGTTGTCGTTTGGAAGGTTTCCATCAAATAGGTTCGAGCGAAAAATTTCTCGTCATTTTTTTTCTTTCTCCATTCAACTTTAAAACACGACTCTCGTTCTACATTCCTGTATGGCGATATTAAAACTATTCGTCCACATATACGATTTGAAAGAAACGTTTCGAAAAATATAAATGTCCATAAAAAAAAAAAAAAAAGAAAAGAAAAGAAAAGAAAAAGAAGAGAAGAAAATAGAAGATTGGAAAGAATTAGATTATCGAGAAAAAAGTGATCGAATCATTTGTTACAGGGCAGTGTTTGAAAGAATAATGTCGATCGAGTATGGAATTATTTCTATTCCTTTTTTCGACTTCTTTATTGCCTTCTTATCGCATCGATATCGATTACTTGGAATAATTCCGTAACACCGATGAGATGATGTTCGATCAAATATTAGAAAATCACTTTTGTCAACACAAAAGATGTGTTGGTTCGCCATTATTCCTCTTTAAACCATCGTCGTTTCTCACTGGATTCGAAATTCATAATAGTTAACAATATAATGCGCTCTCTACCTAAACATACAATGGCACGATTGGCCTGAACCTAGGCCGAATTTCAGGATCGTAAATCGCTAATCCAAATGGTTAAGCCGTTATCTAACGTCATCGCTGACGGAATAAATTATCCTTGACACGAGAGACACTCGGATTAACACCCGTTTTAATCGTTGAATATAAATCTTCCAAGTCCAATGGATCGATATTTCAATTATTCGATTCATTTCACCTTGTGTTTCGAATTCGTGAATAGAACCAAGATTCGCGGCCTCGACGATCGAGCAAGATTCACATTTTTGCTATATGTCCTGGATTCCATTGAAATGTTTTTTCTACGAGTAAATCCAGAGATTTACTCGTCACCTTGATCGTTATTCCGCAACAGTGAACCAATGTGGAATCCGTAGCCTACTCGATTGGCGAGGCCTGTCACGGATCAGAGAGTCTCCTCGTCCGCGTCTTCGTCCTCCGAACCTCCGTAATTCTCGCCGCTATCCTGACGGTCAACAGCGACGAACAACGCCATGAACCCTTTATTCGATATCGTGTCGTCCGTTCTGAACCTTACCAGCAACGCCTCGTTTATCGAAATAAAATCGGTGGTATTCTGGAAAAAGGTAAGCGTAAGAACACGAACACAATATAATTATACCTCGTGTCGCTAAACTTACGCTATTTCCACAGAATCGTCCATAGAGGAGGCCGGACGTGTCCAGGCCGGAATAGACCTCGACGAAGTCGTAATTGCAATCGCTCTCCGATTCCAGTTGGAACGTGACAAACGTCAGATGCACGTTTTTACCCGGTGGCGCCTCGATTGCCCAGTCGCAATCGGTCCTGTGGTCGTAATTATGGACACCGTACCTCGCATGGGAGTACAAATGCCTCACTTCGTTCGTTGCAACCAGGTGGCCACCGCAAGCTGTGTGCGAGAAGATCGAGCGAGTGAAATTGTGCAAAATATCGATGTAAGAGTCAAAGACTCTTTTCGTATCGATATAGAATTATTTGTAAATGAAAACAAAATAATCAAATCGTATAATAATATTTTCTGCGATTCTGATGGTCGAGTAAGATTTTACGAAAAATCGTGCACATAGCACGAAAGAGTTCTAGAAATTATGGTGTAAATATTGGAAAATTTCGACGACGAATTTATGTGTTAGATTACTTCAATTTAAATCAATAAAATAGCTGTTTTACCCGTGCTATGAGTTGCAAAGAAACCTTTCCTCTGGACGGAAGCATCGCTCTTAAATACCATGTACATTTGATTTCCAGTTGCCAAGATTGGATGGGGCTCTTTGGTACCGCAGAATTTGCCGAGAACGTGACTATCCGGCGAATCGCCATCGTAAATCGCTATGTGGTCGTAATTGCATTCTTGGTGGGATTCCATCTCGAAAACTTTGAAAACCTGAAAGAATTTTAACGCGTTGAATCGTGTTTGTGAATCGAAATAATACAAATATTTATAAATATCCATTCTTGGACACTAACTAATTTAATACGATGACCCGGCTTGGTAACAAAATGCCACACGCAATCTTTTAACCCAGGATAATAATCTGGATAGTTTGGTGACGTTATAGTACCCATAGGTGCGGCAATTTCGTACTTGCAACCGCCTTCCTTGCAGTCGTGTCCATTTTCGTGAAGCGTAAATCCGTTGTGACACGAACATTGATAAGAGCCTATTGTGTTTCTGCACTCGTGCTGACAACCGCCATTGTTGGTCGCACACTCGTCCATGTCGGTGAAGAAAACTGCGGCAAAACCAGTTTTCTGGATACTGCAATTACACACGGAATGAAATGTATGAGAAGGTCGTCTCGCAAAAAGGTATTCTGAAAAAAAGATATTTTAAAAAAATTTCTTAAACGTTTATTTGTCACGTTACCTGTTATCAGACGTGAAGGTTACCCTCATGGAGTTGCCCTCCGAGGTAATAAGCGATGGTAACCTCGAGCCGCAGAAAACTCCGTGTTTTCTCAAAATATCGTCTCCAAGTTTGCTGCTCACTTCCACGGAGTCGTATTCGCATTCTTGTTGACGAGCATTGGTACCCTCGAGATCGAAATGGGTGAAATTGAGCGTGATACGGTATTGAGGCGGAGCTATGATCTCCCAGACACAATCCTTGTTTCCTGGATAAGTTACCGGAAACGAGGGACTCGTGATAGTTCCGTTGCTGTCCTCGAACACTCCGCCACAGGCGTCTGATAAACGTAACGCACGACGTGTTAATCGACAGAGATACATTGAAATTCCTAATCTATCGTCGGTGAAATATTTCTAAAATAAACTAGAACAATTGGAAAGAGGAATTGTTGTAGCATTCTGGGTAAATTACCTTCGCAATGTTTCCCATCGGAATGTAATTCGTAGCCAGGTTTACAGGAACATTCGAATCCGCCCAAAGTGTTGATGCAATTGTGTTCACAACCGTGATCGATCAACACGCACTCGTCGAATTCTAAAAAGAAAAAAAAGAAATTAAAGCTTCAACTTTTGATCAAACTTTGAATCAACTATTCTTGTTAAAAGATAATTAAAATTCTCTAATTTATATAATTTTTATTCCTTCCAATTTATCTAAGAAAAGAAATTCTCTTTATCTCTTACTCTTTTCGATTCGCATCGCGACAAATCTCTTTCCGCTAAAATTCCACTTTGCTATCTCGACAAAATTTCAGCAAGGATTATTATTATACGAGGATGACGTAGAAGGACGAGACGAAATCCAATCGAGAGGCATCGAAGCTCGATCGAACGTGAAACTGGATCTCACCTTTCATGAACGTGGCCGAGAATCCAGCCTTTTGCACAGACCCATCGCTAACAAACTTCACCAGAAGTTTGTTGCCCGTGGACTTGATGTCCGGAGGTATCTTGTAACCGCAGTAAACCCCGATCAATGGAGAATCCGCGTTATGACCGTCCCGCACCTCCACGTAGTCGTACACGCAATTGTCGTGATTCTCGATCTCGAACGATTGAAACTTCAACGCCACTTGGAAGTTTTGGGGTACCGACAATTTCCAGACGCACTCCTTGCTCGATTGATAACCGTCCGGGTAGTTGGGCGATTCCAAATGGCCGGTGTCCTCCAGCTCGATCTCGCCGCCGCAAACAGCCTCGTAGGACGCCGTGAAACCACGATGACCCGACTGATAGTTGGACGTCACGTATGTAACCAGCATTCGACTTCCGGTCGAGACGACAGGCTCGTGGATTTTACCGCTTCCGCAGTATCGACCTTCAAATCAAATTATGAAAGATAAGTTTAAACTGGCTTTAATCGAGCTCTCTCTTTTATCTCTTTATGAGAGTAATCGTACAGGATAATTCGAATCTTCTCGCAATAAATATCCAGCTTAAAACATCGTATCAAGTAAAATACGATATTCACATTGATCGTGCGCGAAACGGATAAAGGATTAAACCGATCTTACGACATGCATCGACAAACTAAATCCTTCTATAAATTTTTCTCTCGACCGAAAGCGATTATTATTCCTTTAAAAAACTCATTTTCCGATCGTTAATTGCGAAAGAGAAAAAACGTAAAGGTGAATATATTCCCAAACAGTATTTCGCGTGGAAATAAAGTATTTTCTTCGTCGCAATATTGAATGCAATATTCGTGATATACACACGATACGTGTTTCCAGCCTTCTTGTCACGATTTTTACTTACCCAACACGTTACTTTTGTACCAATATCCGTCTCTAATCTCGAGATAGTCGCTGCGACAAAAATTGCTTTTAAATATATCCAGTGACGTAATGTTGAGGACTATACGTTCGCCATGAGTGGCCGTGATCCTCCATTCGCATCTCTCGCCCTCGGATGGTGGCGAGCTGTTCGGATGAGTCGGGGATCCGAAACTTCCGCTGTTTTCTTGAAACGTTCTGCCGCACTCTGTGGAAAAATCGAATCTATGTTATACAAATCGGCCAAACTTTTTTTTTCTAATTTTCAAATAAATCCAAGGAGAAAGAAGCGAGTTACGTAAAGCTTATCGAAACGAAGCTTACTGTAACATTTGTAAAGAAGATTCGTTTGAGCGATGTCCCCTTCGCTGAGTCGAAGTCTCTGCCCAATCTCGGGACGCTTTTTCCCGTGAACTTCCATCGGTAAGATCGTATCTAAATACGTTCCCCTTGAAAACGTGTTTTTCGCGTAGTGCATGATGGAGTCGTAATCGTAGGGCAAACCTAAAGAATTCACCTCGTCCTCGGTCAGTTTGTTGAAGTTGTACTCCTGACCTGTAGAATTAAAATTCGATCGAAATTACGTCCAAATGGAAATGACGAATAAGAGAGCACCTCGATCAATGCAAACATTCGATCATTCGAATCGCGATTCAAATTAACCTCGAGCCGACAGACATTCCACGCTTAC